TTTCAAAAACAAACACCTGCTACACAAAGGCATGTTTCTTGACTTTTTAAGACGTTACTTCATCATTACAAGAAGAGCAAGTAGTTTTAGAGGAACATATCAATTGATTAACTTCAGTACCATTTGTATGATGGAGAAACATAAACTTCGCAGTTCCTGAAGGTTCTGATATTTTTGGAGGATCGTTTAACTAACATTTCTTAAATACAAAAAGTAGGATACAGTAAGAAGTAATACTAGTAAATTTTTATTATTAAATTATTCCTTTAAATTTAAAGACTTAAATAATTTCATTTTATATTTTATACATTATATACTCCATTTGTACAACATTTCAACAAACATTTTTCCTTTTCAAATACCAGAGTAACTTCTTGATTCAAATTATCCACATTGAATTACAATGTGTACAAATCTAGGTAACAAACAATGTTTTCACAGTAAAATTTTTTTACATTCACACAAAAAAGTAATTTGGAAAGTATTTAATGTAAGAACTTTTTGGAAAGTATGTAATGTATTTTGAGACCCACCTGTTATTCAGTTAAAATCAACTAGTGGTGGTACAGAATGGAACAGACTTTGTCATAGTAAAGTTGTCTAATTTCCTTGGTGTGGTCTTGCCCTATCCTCTTGCCAGCTGCCTTCCATCGCCAACAAAATTATATTTTTGACATTTTCTCGAGTTTTTGGTTTCATAATAGTAAAACCCAAATATTACTTTAAAGATATTAAAGAAGAGTAAAACCTCGTCAATTTTTATTGAAAAATTTGGAGCTGTTTTTAAGAAAACGGTGTTCATGCATTATTGTATATGCGAAATTTGATGCTCTTTTTCCCAGAAAATTTTAGAGTTTTTGAAAAATTTCATTTGAGACACATTAACTCAGTAATGCAATAGTGTTTACACATTGCTGGAAATGTGAATTTTAACGGCAAGAGAGATATATATGAAAAATATTAATTTTTGTAATTTTTCAAAAACCAAAAGAATACAGCTAAGTGAACTTTATATCATTGTTAATAGTGCAATTAGCACTACCTGTTGGAAAAATTTACAAAAAAAACTTTGAGCTATTTTTGAGAATGTCTTTTGAGTGTATATGAAAATTCAGATTTCTGAGCTCGTTTTCACAGAAAACGGTTGGGTTTTAGAGAAACATATGACATTATTTACAGCACATGTACTTATAAATATAATAATGTGAACAAATCGCCGCTAATATAAATATTAAATTAACAAATATAAAATTTTTGAAAAAACAAAATAGAGCAATATGGTGTTTATGTCATCTCAAAGCGTACATTTAGCACTATCCCTACCAAAAGTTTACAGAAAAAATTTGGACCTGTTTTTGAGAAATCTTATTTTCAAAATTTTTTAATGTTGCAAATATAGCATACAATATTGTGCAAAAACTACTAAAATTTTTAAAATATGTACATGACCTTAATGAAAGAACTAATTATGGACAACAAATTTTATTTGAAGGAAAAATTTCTATTTTCAAATTTATTGGAAACAGATGTTGAAAACATTTTATATAATAAATATGCATATGTATATGGTAAAGTAGAAAGTTATAGATGATCGAGTTCATCTATATGACAGAGTCATATTTGATTAACAGAAAAAAAAAACCTGAAAAGATTGCCTTGGTATCTATTCCACACCTGAAGCTTATTTTAAAAAGTTGCAGTGTTAGCTAGTAAGATGAAGGTAAATTAAAGTACGTTGGAGGTATGGAATTAACTGGAGATTTAGAATTATTGTTTAAATGTTGATAATAAAGCATTGTGATTATCGGTAAATTTGTAACATTCTAGAATGGAATTTAAAACTTTGTGGATTTTGATATTTATCATTTCAGAAGTAATTCTCTTAACACAATCTGGTTCTTTATCAATTATTTTAGGGTTGTCAAAATCCATACCTCCAACATACTTTCATTACCCTTCATCTTACATGCTACCATGGCAACCTTTTCAATTAAAATTTGTTTTCTGTCAAAAAAAGACATATTGATCAACTATATCATCTATAACTTTTTGTTTTTAATTAAATAAGATGTGGTCTCATAGTTGTTATGTTATGTAATTTCCAAATAACTTTGTTAGATGAATGCAAAAAGTTTTAATGAGATAACATTTTCTATTAGATTGATTTGTACACACTGTTATACAATGAGTATGACTTGAATCAAGAAGTGACACTTTATACTTAAAATGAAGAAAATTGTTTGCTGAAACGTTGTACAAATGGAGTAAATAAAAAAATATAAAATAAATTTATTTAACTGTCTTTAAATTTAAAGTAATAATTTAATAATAAAAGATATTTATTAAACAGTTACAACTAACAATCAATACTAGTAATTCCTTACCTTCAGGAACTGCAAAGTTTATGTTTCTCCATCATACAAATGGTACTGAAGTTAATCAATTGATATGTTCCTCTAAAAATACTTGCTCTTCTTGTAATGATGAAGTAACGTCTTAAAAAGTGTAAGCATGTACTTCTGAATATATTAGTTCATTTCATAAATTAATCTATCAATTTCACTTATCCAGAATCCCTCAAATTTATTGTAAGACCAATTGTTGAGAATTAAAATACACTAGATAGAGGCAGAATATCAGGTCTTTTATTGAGGAGGGGGGGGGGATATTTGGATACTAATATAAACATGAAAATATCCATTTAATGTTTCGTTAAATTCGTATTAATGCTTTAAGTTAATTGTGCTTCAATTATACAATTTCAATTTTGTCAATTATCTGATTATTACTGAAGTATACCAGTTTATTAATGTATGTTATTAGCTCAGCTTAATAAAATTATTGTTGGTGTAATTATTAAATTTTTCATAAAAAAAAAAAAAAGTAACAAGCAAATTTTGTATAATATAAATTTGAATATCAAATGAATTCCCTATTAAATATATATTTTTTTAAAATTATTCCAAGTTTGGAGGGCAGTTGCCCCCCAAACACTAATGTTAGGAATTTTTGACCCATAACCCTAACATCAGTATTGGGCAAACTCGATGAGAAAGTTATATTAGCAATTCTTAATCGTTTTGTGGAATCTAATAAATCACAACATGTCTTCAGAAAAGGCTTCTCTACCATCACTGCTGTTATTGCATTCTAGCATGAAATCATTGGAAATTTAGAATTAAATTCAGAAACCACTAAATTTTCTACATCCAAAGTTAAATCAAATTTTGATACAATTACCACAGATGTTCTGCTAGGACCTGTGCTTGAACCTTTGCAATTTCTAATAGTTTAACACAGTCACGGCTTGCGGTGTTCTAAATAGGTAAGTCTGCAAATCCTCAAGGCGCGCAGACAGGCTAAATAAAAAAAATAAATTTAAAGTCAGGAAGGTGGGGTCGACCAAATTAATATTATAATATTTGGCTTACCTTAGTTTTTTAATATCCCTTCAGATACAGATGTAAAGGAGTAGCGCTCCTACCATGTACAGTATTGGGAAAACTAGTCGCAGCTCAATGCTACTTACTGAGCTGCATTGTAATGCTATCTGGTGAGCATGCCCTTCTCCTGCAAACCCTAGGCCCCAACATGTCCCACCCTTGAAGCCTGTCTGGCCTCAGCCTTTGTTCACCAGTAAGTCTGTGCAGTGAATGCATGACGTCATGTCGCCTCGTTTCACACAGGCAGAAAGAAGTGGGAGCCTGATGCTTTCTCTTCCTTCTCAACAGCTTCAAATGGGTAATGGACAGCCGTTATTGAACTGCCACAGAAAAATGTTGTTATAATCTATACATAATATAACTCAGAAATCCATTAATATATAAATAAATACATTTTTTCCATTTCTTTTGGGTGGTGATTTCTGTACGGGAGGACTAGCCTTACAGCCTTCAATGATGAGCTCTGTATGGTTAAACAATCTTTATCCATGTAGAATTTTATCTGACTGAATTTTTCAAATCAATCAAAAGCTATTTGTCAATAAATGATTTGAAATTCAATTTTGATAAAACTGTATTCATCTATTTCGAGTTTCAACATGGTCATCTATGATGGTGATTAGCAGTGGTATTAAAGTAGAAGTAAACGTTGAATCTGTGAAATGAACTGATTATCATGTGTTTTGGAATATTCATTCATCGAAACCTAACTTACAACGAACCTTAATGAGAAATAATCAGAATCAATATCATGTTAGTAATAAAGACATGCATAACTTTCATATGAGAGGACTTCGGGACTATCATAGGATGTACACTAGCAAGTCTTCAACAAACATTCATTCTGTATTGCAGCACAGCTTTTTCAGAATCTCCATAATAATAATAGTGTTTTTAAATAATGTAAATTATCTTAATGTTTATTGTAAGCACATGTATTATTAACCATGCTATTTTTTGCAGTTACTATAAATTAATTAAATTATTACTGTAATATAATGTAATTATTATTGTAATTTAAAAGAATTGCTAGACTGACTGCTTGATACTTTTTGCAAAACAATTAGCAATAAAATATTTATTATTATTATTATTATTATTATTATTATTACATGACTATATACTATCCAATGTTCTGTATTTGCTTCATATCATTATCCAGACTATTAATTTAACTGACTTTTGGCCCCAAATACCATGATTAATGAAAATTCGTTTAGCTGTGGCTTCATACTGACCTCATTCTTCACTGATGCCTAACAAAATTTTAAAAACTTGATAGGATCAAATTACACTCCTTACTTTGATTAAGGAATTATACTTCAGAGTGTAAAAAACATTATACAATCAACAAAATTAAATTTATTTCTGAATTTTATGCTCCAAGTTCATGAAAATATTAGTAGTAATGGTAACGGAAGCAGCTTACTTGTATTGTCATTCAAGGGTTTGTGAATAGAAAACATTTTTTACTTTTTCTTCACTAGTCATTCTTTTTACATAATTAACAAATATTGAATATTGATGTAATGAAGCAGAATGCATGATTGAATACTAAAAAGATTTATTCTTGCATAAGTTAAACACTGCATATAACAAGATGCACTGTTTTACATAAATGTTTATTTAACACAATTTTAGACAAAAATTGTTTTTCAACACTGCTCGAGAAATAAAATCTGAGAATACACTTACAGGAATATGTACAAATCTTCAATTAAAACCAAATGAATAAAATGTTTAACATCAAATTTATCACATTGTCAATTTTTCTTTAATTTTAATTACCTTCCTTGTGTATTGTCATGTTATTTACATAACATGAAAGATCATGTTATATAAAATTTTCCAGGAACATTGTTTTTTCTTACATGAAGTAATATAAACAAAAGTACATTGAATTTCAAGCAAAATACAAATATGTTTTTTACAGAACACAAAAGGTGTGTTTTATTAAAACATATTGAGGAATTTGTGTTCTGTCTTGCTATGCTTTCTGAACACACACTGTTCATCAAATCTTGATCAAACATTGTTCATCAAATCAAACAGATCTTGTTTTCTTCTCATTTTGCACATTCTCGAACACCTTGGGCTTCAAATCTTAAACCTAAAATACATCCTAAACTATAGTAACTAAAACATAAATTGTATATGTATATGCATACCAGCCCATAACAAGTAAGTACAGGCTGCCAACTATATGTGGTATGCTGAGTCCTTTAGTATTACTAAAACGAAGACTATACTTCTAAAATTTTGTACACAAAATAAAAACTATTTACAAAGTTCATATAACAGAAACTATCTAACAAACTCTCCAACAGTCACTGTAGTTCTTATGCATGTATGATAATATAAAAAAATTCACGATACACTTTTCACAGTACACTATCTTTCTACACACATAAGAAAACATCTTGTCTAATAATTTATTCACACAGTATATCTTTTATACACCCACTTTCACTTGTCTTCTTGAAAAAATGCTCACATGAAAAACTGTTCAAGGCACCTCATTTAATTTCAAATTATACACGATAGTCATGGCAAGTTACTAAGGCACACATTTTATTTGCTATTTCTTCTTCTTCAAGGCACTACGTATTGTTAGTAACCGTGAATTCTAGAATGACAAAAAAGGAGTATCTTTTTGTTTTAAGATGATAAATGAGATTATCTATTTCCACAAGTCTCTAAAAGAAAATTACTTCATTGTCATTGATGGTGACCAATACATTCACGGTCTCTACAATTTTGGCAAACTCGTTTTGTACAGACATAGAAATGAATTGTTTAAAACTATACAAAATAAGATTCTCTGGTCTCATAAAAACCACAAAAAATATAATTTACATTTACTTGGACCCTTAACACCAGCTATGTAAGATACCTACTAAAATTAGTCAGGTCCCAGTCTTGTTCCCATATTTTATCCAACTAAGAACATCAGTGAATAGTGTTCTAGTAGATAAAACTACAATAAAATCCACAATATGTTTAATCTTGAAAACCAAGAAAAAACAAGTTTTGTTTCAATGTTCATCACAAAAATGTTTCGAATGAAGTTTGTGAGTGTGTTGTTGTTTTCAAAGAAGTTATACTCTCTATTCAAGAACACACACAACTTTCACTAAATATAAATGGCTTCTGCTTGCTTCTGGTGTTGACCAGGACCTGTTGCATATGCATTTGCTACAGGGCTATGGATACCTTCTGACCAGTCTGAATTGGAATGAGGAGATGATGATGACCAGTCGGGAGGACTCTCCGGTGATGGGGTAGGGAAGGTTTCATGAAATATATAACGCTGAGGAGTCACCTCAGGATTCTGTGAATGTTGGGATGGCGGAGTGAGGAAGTGATAGTACTGGCTTTGTTGAGCATTGCCCATCTGTTGCTGTTGTTGCTGCTGCTGCTGCTGCTGTTGTTGTTGCTGCTGTTGTTGTTGCTGTTGCTGCTGCTGCTGCTGCTGTTGTTGCTGTTGCTGCTGCTGCTGAACAGTACTGCCATATCCCATTGAAGCCATTTCTGCGGTAGGAAGATTGTAGCCCATGCTTGACATGGTTTGAGATGGCTGCTGATGCATAGAACCATGCTTTTGTTGAGTTGCTGCCCTCATTGCAGCAATGTGAGTGGGAGATGTAGGCAAGGATGGCCGAGATTTAGCTGGAGAGGGAGAACCCATATAACTCTGGGGAGGTGAGAGCGTAAGATTTGAATTCACGCTGTGGGGTGGAGATTGTTGATTACTATATGGAGGAGAGAGTGTGTTAGGATGAGCTTGCATTTGTGTCTGCATCTGGCTTTGGGTAGGAATAGTTAAAGGTAATGATGTCTGTCTTTGATGTTGAGAAAGTGCTTGATCATGAAATGAAGCCAGTCCACTGACAAAGTTGCCACTCCCATAAGGCTCTAATCCTAGATTATGAATACTCTGCAAAGATGGAGCACCTTTCATACAGTCCTCATATGAAGGAGGTTGTTTGGTGGTAGGGATCATCCCATTACCCTCCAGCCCAGAATGATGCAATTGGGCTAATGACAGACCACCGTTACTGTACAGAGAGCTGTCGTAGGGACTGGGAGTGCCGTCTGTGGTACTCATGCTTCCTACGGTGTGAGGGGATTCAAGAGAATTCACAGGAGACAAACTGGATGCCACACTTTCCACACTCTGCACACCGTGGGGTGGCTCCACAGGAGCCTGAGCGACAGGCTTCTTACTGCTACTCTTCTTGACACTTGGTTTCCTTCTAACACAACCTGTAGCCCCCTCCACATCTGGGCTGGTGGGTGAATTGCTGTTGGGAACACCTGGCCCATTGTTATTGTTGTTACTCTTCTGACGCTTCTTTGATTTTGATGGTTTTGTTCCTGCCCCAATAACAGTTGGATGAGTGATAAGATGATGGTGGTTTGGAGAACCTGAGAAATTGGAAAATAAATATTTACGAACAAGAGCATTTAAGATACTAATTAATGAAACAGAAAATATGATTTAAAAAAATTCGTAATCAGACAATGAAACATACCAATGATTGGACCATTGGATATTACAGAGGTCACCATCTGTGGGCTGCGAGGCACATGTTCATCCAGTAACCTCACAATGTCGTGATGCAGTCTTTCCCCAGCAACGTCTCTGGGTAGCCTGTCCATATGATCAGAAATTTCTCGGTTCGCAAAGTTATCCAGAAGAGCTTTACATGCTTCAAAACTGCCCTCTCTTGCAGCCAAAAAGAGGGGTGTCTCATCCTAGAATGAAACACAAACAAAATGAATAATACAAATAAAAATGCATAAATAGATCCAGCTATTTCAACAATAAAATTGTTTTTCATATTTTATTTCTATGAAAATAACATCTATTAATATTATAATAAATTATATTCACTTATTACAAATAATATGCTACATTTAATCTCATAGAAAGCACCCATTTTTCCACCATACCACGTGTGCTTCTGCCACACTTTTATGGCAGATAAAAATTTCCAACATAAAAATTTCACTTTACAAAACTCTACAGACAGTATAGGTATTAGATTAAAAAATATCAAAACTCTAAGATTAACGTTTAGTACTTGCTTTAGATCACCTGTGAATGATTGTGTAGCACACACATGGCAAGTATAGTATCATATAGCAATGCAGACTGTGGACTCATGTCACCAAATTTTGCAGACAAGAATGCTTTGTTGTAGGTTAGTTTTTAACATACCATAAGAACTCAACACAAGACTGCTGGCATGCAGCTATGTTAAATATTCTGAATTCCGCCATTCTTAAGAATTTTCAGAGACTTGTATCTGTACCACTAACGAGAATAAAAAACCGCAACAGATAGCTTAAAAGCTAGTGTTGAATGTCTATCCACAGGCAAACATTAAACAATACTGCAGGAATTACAGTGTCTCACATAAATGATTATCTTTAACTCTGTTACTTTTATAATTACCTTATCATCCTGAGCATCTCTGTTAGCACCATGAGCAAGTAGAATGTTAACAGCATCTACATTGTTAACAGCTGCAGCCCAATGCAAAGCTGTTTTGCCTGAATTATCAGCAGCATTGATGTCTGCATCAGCATTAATTAAATCTTCTACCATCCCTTCAATTGCTAATCTTGCTGCTAAAATTAATGGAGTAGTTCCATCATGCATTCGAGCATTCAAGTTTGTAGCTCGATTTCGAAGTAAAATCTACAGATAAAACAAAATATAATAATTAGCATTTCAAAATGAAAAAACAAAACAAAACAAAAATCAAATGCTCCATTAGAAACTAACCTGGAAGACACCCATTGCATCTGCTGCAACTGCCGCATGCAGTGGTGTCCGTCCTGTGTTATCTTGTGAATTAGCATCAGCACCAGCATCGAGTAGCCTTTTAGCTGCATCAGCACGAGCGTATCTTGCTGCAAGATGCAAAGATGTTTCTCCAGTTTTGTCCATAGTAGCGTTAAGTTCAGCTCCTTGGGCAACAAGATCAGCAATGGCAGCAGCTGCACTATCTTCTTCTTCATCTTCACCAGTATCAATACCACCACCTCGCACAGCAGCTACCATGAGTGGAGTCATTCCACAAGGACCACGGGCATCAATGTCATGGTTGCCATCCTGTAAATCGATAAATTGTTATTTTAGACAAAATTCTTTACCTGCTTAGAAAGGTTAAGAAATTGTTAAAAGTAGCAACATGTACATTTATGTTAGCATAATTGTTAAAGTACTTTTTGTATACTAAATTAATTGAATCAGGTAAATCATAATATCTGTGAATTCTTTTACCAAGCTCGGTGGAGTAAGAATAGCTGGATCAGGTCTTGGCCGAATATCAGCAGCTTCGAGATGTTGTTGAGTCCAGGCTCGAGGTTCTCCTTCTTCATAGTCGGTAATGGCAGTATGGTCACTCGCGTAGCCAGCTTCACAGGCTCGAATTCTTTTGGGAGGCGGAAGATCAGATTCACTATCCGACCAGTGCTGACCAGGACCATGATGTTCCGTAATCCCGTGAGGTGGTAGATCCATATCGATGCAGCCCACAGATGGTTGCTGGTTGAGGTTGCGCATCTCCTGGCCATCTGGACCTCTGCGTCGAGAAGGTCGTCTCTGACCACTAGCACACAGTTTTCTCTTAGAATTAGATTTATTTTACAATTAAAACTGATTTAACTCCTACACTCATACCTCAGTACTATGAATCTCCTTTTAACGAATTTTGAAAGTAGACAAAATATTAAGCAGATGATTTGGTTTGAAAGTCAGATTTTAAATTTATAAATTTAATATAATATATTGTATTTAAAATTATTATACATTGTCAAATTCTTTAATGCTCTTGATTTAAAGTCCAGAACTGTATTTAATTCTCCATCTTCCTTACTGTAGTTGTTAATAAACCACACAAAATGAAACCTAACTTTGACTGTTGATATCTATGTGTAATAGAAAAACTGGCTTCTTCAAACCGAGTTTTTCCTCATTTAGACCACAGCACCATGGCATGAGTGTAATTTCATTACTCCATTTATAGCCGTTTGATCAGCTGTTACTGTTGTTCCACGATGACCCAACAATCAAAAACATTCTCTGCCCCACAATAGTGTAGGAAATCCGATGTTGTGAGTCGCATTTTCTACTTCCGATCCGAAGTCTTCATGTAAAACGCAATTCCCCTCTAACCACTTACATAAAACCTAAATATCATCAATTCTTACGCTAAACATACCTGTTGTTCCTCAAAAATCCCTCGGGAAACCATGTGATGCCTGCTGCTCGTTTCCGTTGGGCGGTAACAATAACTCCAATCAAGCAAACTGCCACGACTACTATTATCACACCTATAAAAACGTATTTGATATTCGCTCCAGTTTCATCCGGATCATAAGGCGGTTCCACTTCTCCTTGGACGCGATGAATTGGAAACACAGTAGACATAGACCGACGAGCAGCTATTCCAGCCAGGTAGTTGGCAGCCTAGATGCAACAAAATTTCCCTTTACAATCTGCCTCCAAAACTGTAATTTATAAAAAACTTAACATAAAAAAGTAAACACAAAAAACGAAAAACGAAACTTACTTCATTAGCTGAGGGGAAGCATTCTTTGCCTTCTGCAAGAGTGCATTTGAAGTTATCCAACTCCAAATAAACAACAACACCTGATGTTCCGGAGTGATAAGTAAATGATTTAGATACTTCATTTCTGTGTCCGTCCAAAGTTAACAAACCTTCACTTCCTAGACGCCAGGGATATATCATGTCCTTTCCCTGTGAGTCTTTCTTCACACGCACATTTGTTCTCAGAATGCTGCCAACCTTTACAAAAAATATATAAAATTCTCATTACAAGGCACACATAACAACTCTTCAAGTATAGCAACTACTTCTGATAGTATGAAGCTTAAAACTAAAGGTTATGTGCTTGTATCAAAATTGACATGTTAATTATTAACAAAAAAGACAAATAAATATGGACTTTAATAATCTGCTTTAAAAATCGTGCCTTACCTCTCTTAAAAATGAAACTAATTTATCTAAAAACGTTCGCATATCAAGAAGGACTACAACGGACATCACACCATCAGCTAACATGGCCTCTGGTTGTTTCTCACAATCCAGGCCATCCCAGTTGCACTCTTCGTTATTACAACCATAATCACAATGTCCATTTGCATAATGCTCCTCACAGTAGGCATTATAGATGGGACTGTAAAAAAGTTGGAGATTGAATCAGTTTTTAGTATTCGATTCCACTTTATAATTAAAAATTAAGAATAAAACAAAACATTAGAAAGGTAGTTTCTTACTTGCAAGAATTCAAAGGTCCTTCACAATCTCGTCCATCAAACAAACATTGAGCATTATTACACTGTTCATCGCAGACTCCATTTTGGAACAATTCCCAGCAATTTATACTTGCTGTGCAGTTCCTCCAAGGATTAATCCCAAGAGAACAATCTCCTCCATCGAAATTGCAAGCAAAAGTATTACACTCTGAATCACATCGGAAATTTCCAGATTTCTCTCGGCATTTATTCTCAATGCATTTACTCATTTCTACTGCAGTGTCGTAGATTTTTCTGCTGGTATTATGAGGGTATCCTCCACGGAAACTTTGGTCATACCTATTACAATTCTTTCCATTCCACTTTGGTGGACATATGCACACATAATCTCCAATTTGGTCCTGACACGTACCATTATGTTCACATGGCATACTACTACATTCATTCCAAGAGTCAAGCTCACAATGGGTGCCTCGTGTTCCAGATGGGCATTCACAACGATAACCACCTCCATCAATAAGTGTGCAAACTCCACCATTTTGGCAAGGATTCGAGTCACAGTCAAAGCCTTTGAATTCACAGTTCTTTCCATAAAACCCATCAGGACAGGTGCATAAGTGACCAACATCTTGTCCGTTGCACATTCCTCCATTCTGACAGGGAGAGCTGTCACAAAAATTGACTTTGGATTCACAATGACGACCCATGTAACCAGGTTTACAATTGCAGTGGTAATTGTTGACAAGTTGAACACAATCTTGGGTACCGTAACTGGAGCATGGATTTGATAAACATTCATTAATGTCACCCTCACAACGAGGTCCCACAAAGCCTGGAGGACATGAACACTCAAATCCACCAACACGATCTATGCATGTTCCTCCATTATGACATGCTCCTTGAACACAGTCATTTTCATTGATTTCACAGATGATGCCCAAAGTACCTGTACACAAATGAAACGTAAGAAATAAATAAATATATGACTTAATGGAGATAAAATCAAAAATTTTCATTCACAATTCACATTCATTCAACTCACCATGTGGGCATGAGCAGCTGAAACTATTGATTAAATCATGACATATACCACCATTCTGGCATGGGTTAGGCTGACAATCATCCACATTTAGTTCACAATTTTGCCCTTGGAATCCTGTTGTGCACTGACATGAATAGGAGCCAATAAGATCTCGACATGTAGCTCCATTTTGACAAGGAGCTGACTCACATTCATTAATTTCCTCCTGACAGTAACTGCCAGAGTAACCTTCTTGGCAATGACATCTGTGACTATTTCCTATATCTTCACACGAACCATTGTTGCACAATTCTTCTCGAGCCACACCTAAAAAATCAATGAAATGATAGTTTAATTATCACCAAAAGTAAATGAGAGTATTCATTATCAATTACTAGTTAAATGACAATGAAGTTCATGAGAACTTAAACAGGTAAACCATTACAAACCTTTCCGAATTGCAGCATCCTTACACGAAACCATTTCCACATCACATACTTTTCCTGTCCATCCAGGTGCACAAATACACTGATAGGTGTTTTTAGTTTGTTTGCATGTAGCTTGATTCATACATGGATTTGTGCTACACCAATCAACAAATTGTTCACACTGTTTGCCAGTAAATCCGTATGGACAATGGCAAGTGTAGTATTTAACATGATCATGGCATGTTGCACCATTCAAGCAAGGGAGACTGTCACATTCATTGATACGATACTGACAGTTAGAGCCAGTATATCTAAAAAATAAAAATAAATATATTATATATATCCATTAAATTGAACTTGATGAAATATTAAAATTTTCACAACTTAATAGACCAAAATGTGTATCTAAACTTACCCTGCTGGGCAAACACATGTGTAGTTATTGATGCCATCAACACATGTACCACCATACATGCAACTACTGACAGTACAATCCTTGTCATTTGTTTGACAATTAATTCCAGAAAATCCCAAAGGACAGGTACAGGTATAAGAGTTGACATACTGGTTACATGTAGCTCCATTCTGACAAGGATTAGATTCACATTCATCAACATCAACTTCACAATGTTTTCCCGAGAATCCTTCCACACAAAGGCACTCATAATCACCAATTCCATCAAGGCAGGTTCCTCCATTTTGACATGGAACTAAGCAAAAAACAATAAATAAAAAAATATTATAAATCTTCTTTAAATGAGATAATTCCAAATGATAATAAAAAGAGACATATGATAATATAAGTCAGTATGTTTCATACCAGTATTTTTGTTGTGAAATAAAATTACAGATTAAAATTTATTGATGCACTGCAATTGATATTCAACCCTCATAATTTTATAAAGATCAGTAAACAAATAAAAAAAAAAAAAATCTTACATGATGCACAATCATCTGTATTGTTCACACAGTCTCGTCCTTCATAGCCTTTGGCACAGATACAGTGATATGAACCGTTTGTATTGCGGCACGTTGCACCATTTCTACATGGTTCAGAAACCTTACATTCATCAACATCATCATCACATAATCTTCCCATGTAACCAATACCACATGTACAAGCAAAGTCCAGGAAATTGCTTGATGGAGAGCAACGGGCTCCATGTTTACACCTGGATGATAAAAGAGAATTTAGCAAGATGACAGTAAAGTCAAGAAATTAGTCCTTTAAAAGGTCTATGACAATAGTAAATTAGTTTATAGAAACGTGACAAAAATTGACTTTCATACCTGTTTGGAGAGCATGGATCCAATTTGTCTTCACAATTTCGACCTGTATGAGGCAGTTCACACACACACTTGTAATCATTCACATCATCGATACAGGAGCCACCATTCTTGCAAGGATTAGAAGCACAGTCATCAATATTAGTTTCACAATTAACTCCAGTATAACCAGGAATACATTGGCAAGAGTATGCATTCAAATGATCAGAACATGTTCCACCATGCTGACATGGATTGGAACCACATTCATCCACATCATATTCACACCGTTTCCCTGAAACAACATCAAATTGTTAAGATACAAGTCACTGTGGCTAGTATTCAATGATCCAGCAAAAGATTCAATGATCACAAAAATACCTCCATATCCTGGTTTACAGTGACAAATGAACTGGCTCACTCCATCTTCACAAGTGCCCCCATTCATACAAGGATTGCTGCTACATTCATCTACATCACTTAAGCATCGTGCATCGTAGTATCCTCGTGGACAATCACAACGATAACCGTCTTCCATATCTATACATTTGCCTCCATTGGCACAAGGATTGCTGGCACACTCATTGATATTAGTCTCACAGTGAATGCCTGTGTAGCCTGGTTTACACCGACAGGTATATCTAAAAAATGAGTAAAAGTATTAATAAAGACAAAATTAATATATCTTTTATTTTAAGTACTTAAGCATATGAGAATATTTACTTGTTTATTCCATCAATACATTCAGCACTGTTTCTGCATGGGTTACTGTAACATTCATTGACGTTAATTTCACAATTGGGTCCTGAAGTGCCAGGTAGACATCGACATTGATATCCATTGATAAGGTCTTCACAACGTCCTCCATACTGGCAAGGATTACTTTCGCACTCATTAATTTGAGTTTGACACAAGTATCCGGTGTAGCCAGCATGACAATTGCATGTGAATAGATTTTCTCCGTCAATGCATTCTCCATAATAACAAGGTGAACTCTGGCAATCGTTGATATTAGTTTCACAGTTTGTGCCTAAAAAAATTAAAATAAATTTTTAAAAAATGTTCAGAGTATGTTAACAGCCTAAATATGCAAATATACCACAACAAGGTTAATAAACTTACCGGTAAATCCTGGTGGGCATTCACATGTGTAGCCAGCTATAGCATCATGACATTCTCCTCCATTTCTACAGGGACTGCTAACACAATCATCAATGTTTATTTGGCATCTATTACCCGTGAAACCTTTTGAACATACACACGTAAAGTTGTTGATAAGATCGTTGCATATTCCGCCATTCAGACATGGGTTGGAAGCACATTCATCAATGTCTACTTCACACTGAGTACCAGTGAAGCCTAGAAAAGGAAAGCATAAAAAAAGAATTTCAATATCTTGCAAAAACTTCACACCTGCTCCTATAAAATATAAATTATTGTAAAAAGAATAGATACGTAAATAAGTATTTTAATTATAGTTACATATGAAATTTTAGACATAATGAAAGACAGAAATATGTGAATAAGAAAGACACTGAGTATAGCTCTGAAGGAGGCCACAGCAAGATGGCCGAAACGTCAGCACAATTGACTGAGACGCGGCTCATCCCGGATAGCCAAGAAAACAAAGACACAAAGTTTTTGTCATTAAGACCAGAAAGAAGTTGCACCCTCTTCCATTCCAAATAAACACCAAGGCAGAGAGATAGAGTAGATAAAATTTAAGGATCAAAAAACGAATGAAGATGAAAAATTGTAAGATCAAAAAACCAATATTTTAATCATCCAATTCTTCAATACGACGACAAAACGATTTACAATCGTACGGAATGATATGGAGGATGAAGAAAAATAGAACCTTCGCCAGAAGTGGGACCTAGCAGAACTAGGGTAACTAATTGGGGACTCACCAATTTTTTAATAATCCAATTCTTTAATAGGACGATAAAAATATTTACAAGCGTACGGAATGATGGAGAAAATATTTACAAGCGTACGGAATGATGGACGTGGAGGATGAAGAAAAATAGAATCTCCGGCAGAAACTAGGGTTTCCAATCCGGGCCTCACCTGGCATGCAGACGCAACGGAAGGTGCCGGGGTCGTCGAGGCAGGAGCCGTCGTTCTGGCACGGGTGCGACTCGCACTCGTTCACGTTGGTCTCGCACCGGGGGCCCGTGAAGCCACGCGTGCAGTTGCACGCGAAACTGCCTGGCGTGTTGACGCACGTCCCATCGTGCTCGCACGGTGATCCTAGACACATCAACATGTTTGTTACAAATCATCATGGCGTTGTTGTGCCACAACAACATCGCTGTGACACTCAGACACAACGTTAACTCAGATTCTATAACGACAGAAATCAAAATATATCAATATGACGAAGTCTTTTGGGATTCAAATGTGTACATACGTTACTTATTTCAGCATTTTAGACTAATACAAATTTAAAAGAAACTGGTATCTTATGGGAGTTATTTACCTGAAAATACCCAAAAAGGCCAATATGGAAATCTATGGTCATAAACGTGAATCAGTTAACCATTTCATGTCATGTATATGGTAGCAAGTTTGGGACGTGATAGAAGTTATTCAAAATTTCAAGGGCAAACGAAAGTAGCGAAATACTTTTTAAGCTGGATGGTGGTATTCGTATACTGGCATTTTTCGGTGGATTTTTCAGGAGGGGACATGGAAATTAAAGAACGCAATATATTCACATACACAACTTGTTAGAGAGCCTCTAAATATAAGGGGTTTTGGGACCATAATGGTCTCTTTGCCTCTAAGGGACCATCAGGCTTGGGGTGATATGCTTGTTTTTCTATTATGTATTTTACCCATATTTGAGTATTTATTTTATTATGCAATAAATTCCGTTCTCTGGGCTCAAGTAACGGTGCCGTTGACCCCGACCTATACTGCTTCCGAAGACCAAAATTAAATCTAGCAGGCCGCCGTTATCTTTCACCTGTCAGAATGTTAATGAAAGCTCCTCGTGGCAACACTCGATACTCTTAGTCCAGCCCGTGGTTGCCCGGCTGTCTGACCTCTTCCCGCCTCATCTGCCGTCTTCCTCATAGATACGAACGAGGGCGGGCCCCAATCCTTTTCCGCCTTGTAGCTACAGCACTATCCTTCGATTTTTCTGTAGTGGCCGATGGCATTGGGTCATTCCTCGTTACACCTACTGCCTCATAAAATGAACCTTTTTAATTATTAAGCGAACGTCCTTCTCAGCGGGGCTCGTGCCTCCAGAAACGTGCTTACCACTGTTAAGATTCATTATAGACGACAGGAGGCGTAACAACGACGTGATGTCATCGGCCACTGTAGAAAAATCGTAGAGATATCTTAGCTATTCTATGTCCAAATTCCAGACGTGCCTGTCAACAATTGTTCGCAGATTCCAACACCCCCGAAGCACTCACCTTCCTTGCACTCGTCGATGTCCTCGCTGCAGTCGACGCCTTTGTAGCCGGTAGCACACGAGCATGTGTACGAGCCGTTGATTGGAGAGGTGTCGCAGATGGCGTCGGCGTGGCACGGGTTCGAAGTGCAAGCGTCGTCCAGATGGCACAGCAATCCTGCAACAAGGCACGCCATTTGAATATACTACAATCGCATGGCATTACTACCATTCCAATGTCGTGTCACAGCGTTAGTAGCGACTAGAGAGGTAAAACAGCTAGAGAAAATCTATCATAACGAACACATTTCGGTTTATATTTTGCCTGGTTCAGGATAGGAACTTTTCAGCAAGCAGTCAACATTAACTTCAAAATTAACAAAGCAATTTATTGTCTCTGAATAGATTTTAATGGAGGGCGGAAGTCACTAACTTGCACCCTCAACAATGTGTGGCGGGCTGCAGGCTGCACAGGGGCAGAAACTTGGTTCATTTTTCGGACAGCCCGCTCTCTAAAACCTCTCCCGCTTTTTAAAAATCAATCAAGTGTTGTAATACACCTGCAATTACTTTCCCAAACCGAAGTACGGCTTCTTCACTACGAAAGAGGAGAGATGCGATTTCTGACGACTCGCTACCCACGCGTATGAGCAGAACCAAGGACCAAAAGAAACGAAACTGCAACAAAATCATTTTCTCGCGAACTTAAGTTTCGATACAGTAACGAAACGAAAGTCTGCGCTAATTTACTTGAATTGCAGAATGATCAGAAACGCTGAAGTGGTTTCATTTCTTTTCTTCACCAAAACAAAACAAAAATGCATTTCCTTCCTTGTCTAGGGGAAGAAACGTTACTTGTCTATTTGGTTTCATAATTAATATTTGTTCGTGGACTAAGCAACAAATGTCGCGTGGGAGGATTTGAACCCCAAACTTTATTATAATAAGCACAGCTTTGTCATTTTCGTCTATCCTTCATCCCGGCTATCTGTCAAATCATACAAACACCTAATAGGACAGTAACAACATTTAATTGATCTAATCCTAGACCGATAATAAAAAAGACGAAAACGATCCCGAAAGAGTCGAAACTCAAATGCATTTCTAAAACAGTATCCAAGTGTGTGTTCTTAAATACAACCAGACGCAATTAATGTTGTAATTTAACACAACGATTCTTCTATTCTTCCGCGAACGTTAAAGAGCTGGGAGAGGAACAGAAGCTTCGCAGGCGTCTGGTGAAGTGTGAATGAGCGGCGCCCCAGTAATTGGCCCTGGGCGGATCCGCTGCTTAAGGGGCTGGGAGGACACTAAAAATAAACGCCCAGCGGGGCAGACGACGGGAGCGCCGCAGCTAGCACTGACCCGCGGTTGACCTCAATTGCCTGAAATGTATTTCTTATTCCGTCTTAATTGCAGCGAGAGATTAATTTCGCTCCCGTGAGCCGCGATATAGCGATTACACCCTTTTTTCCCTGGAGCCAAAGAACACTGGAGACTTCACAACCCACCCAAGTGACGTTTGCCGAGTGGTTCTTACATAGGTTTTTAGGAACGTCACTAGACAGAGACCTCTTTCACATATGAATCATTACGGACTTAGAATGACCACGAAACACCATGTTAGGCTTACTATTACGGAAATAACGGCAAATATGATTTTTAAAACGTCCCAATTTATATTTTGTAATAAATTTGTTGTAAATTATATTGTATATTATGTTTCAATACAATATTTTTTATTTTCTTGCCTACCACATACTTTAAGAGAAAGTATTGTAATGATGCGCCCGAAACTGGCTATTTTGACAGAAAAAACTTGGCTATTAAATGTATGAAGTTAAGGCAGTTTATAAAAAAAATCTCAAAAGCCGCTTCAAGTTTAAAAAAAAATATTTTACACAGAAAGAGTAATAATTGCTTCATAACGGCCCAAGTCTTATTTCCGTTGAAATCTGAATTTTCCAAAATTGCAAAAGTTAGAAATAATGTGAGAAACCACAAATCGTTTTAAGCTTCGGTAATGTTAAGTTCTGCGTTCAGCTATCAGGGTAGCGGTAACGTCACTGAAGTGTTGACTCTTAAGGACCTGAGCTTGAATCAAGGTGCGGAGAAGAAAAAAACTGCTGGTTGGAAACAGGTGTAACTTTTACAGGTTTATGCATTGGTATAATATTTTCTACGGAGTTACAAATAATACGAGAAAGTGTGTGCCCTTGTAGCATCGCTAGTTCACTATTCATATTCATTTTCTAATACCTCTTTCAAGCATCCAGTAAGAAACCTGCCAATGATTGAAGTACTCGTAGAACACTTTAAGGCGCACACATACCGGAGTCACTTCACAAACGAGGTCCGCAGGCGAACTAGCGAGGGGGTGGGGGAGGGGAGGTGTCCGCGGGTAAGCGCAGGGAGATGCCGATAAGCCGCCCCTAACGATCCCGGGCGGGTCGGCAGAGAACCGCAACCTCACCGTGACTGCACAGCCTCTCTCGCGCCTGGAATGCTCGGCAGCGCTCTTGCCTCGGAACCGACGACGGCGGCGGCGGCGGCATCTCGATACAACGAACGACGCGGCGGGGAATGCACGACGCAAAAATGAAGAAAATTTTATTTTCTTGGAGATAATGTAATGGGTGCACATAAATCAAACGGGATGTCTCACATGTAACCGATTGTCTTACGTAATCCTATATTTTTCTTGCTTTATTCGATATTAAAAGGACCGGTTTCTTTTGAGAATCCCAGACACTTTCACGATTTGAGAAGAACGACTGCAGCAGGAAAGGACGGAACACATGTTCTTGTGTCAAGTGAACTATACACGACAGTTCTGTAAGTCATTTTGATTCTAGTTACTATAGAACGTATGCAGAAATGACTCCACAAACCAGTTTGGAAAATTAACTTTCATATTTGTCTGCCTCGTTTAGAATTATAGCCGAAAAGCCATTCAGTGCAAATCATGTCATAATTCTCATGGACACGATAGTAACGCAGGTAGAAGTTGTACGTTTTGAAATACGTATATTCCTGACCTCACTACAGTTGATTAAACACGGAAAATTGAATTTTTGGTTATTACACAGCCTACTTCTCTCAAATTATTTGTAACGGCTACATAATGTAATACTGCTTGCGCCAACTAAAGTGTTCAACAACACATAACAGGGTTACCCCTTGCTTACGTCTGGACTAAACGTATTACCATAGTTTAAGAATCGTATATCTAAAGATTTAGCTTTGACAACCCATACGAAAATCACATTAAAACGTGCAGATCTAATAGAGCGTTTCAGCAGAATTCAGCCTACCTGTCTTGCCCGGCGTGCAGCTAGCATGCTCTTAAACTCATTACAGTTAATTCAAACATAGAAAATAGAATTTCTGGGGATTCAATAGCCTACTTTTCTCAAATTATTTGTAAAGGCTTCATAATATTGCACCTTCTAAAAAGTGTACTTGCTTACGTCCGGGCTATATTTTAAGAATCATCTCGAACAATTTATACTTGAAGCCCATACGAAAACCACATTAAAGCGCGCAGCTCTTATTTAGCATTTCAGCCTACTTGTCTTGCCCGGCGGGCATGTTACTAAACTCACAACAGTTAATTAACACCTAGAAAATAGAACTTCTGGGGATTCAACAGCCTACTTTTCTCAAATGGCTAGATAATATTGTAATACTGGTTGCACCAATTGAAAAGTGTTCAACTACACATTACTTGCTTACGTCTGGGGTACACTTACCATATTTTAAGAATAGCATACCTACAGATTTAGATTAAGCAGTCTATACGAAAACCACATCAAAGCGCGCAGATCTTATTGAGCGGTTCAGCGTACCTGTCTTGCCCGGCGGGCACGTTCCTAGACTCACTACAGTTAATTAAAACCTAGACAACAGAACTTCTGGGGATTCAACAGCCTACTTTTCTCAAATGGCTACATAATATTGTAATACTGGTTGCACCAACTGAAAAGTGTTCAACTACACATTAATTACTTACGTGTGGGCTATATTTTAAGAATCATCTCGAACGATTTACGCCTGAAGCCCATACAAAAGCCACATCAAAGCGCGCAGATCTTATTGAGCGGCTCAGCCTACCTGTCTTGCCCGGCGTGCAGCGGCAGTAATAGCTGCCGACGCGGTCGATGCAGGTGGCGCCGTTGAAGCAGGCGGCGCCCTCGCAGTCATCGATGTTCTTGCTGCACGTGGGGCCCGTCCAGCCGTTGACGCAGATGCACGAGAAGCCGCCGTGGGTGTTGGTGCAGGTGGCGCCGTTCTGGCACACGCTCGGCCGCAGCGCGCACTCGTCCACGTCTTGCTGGCACAGCTCGCCCGTGAACGACGGCGGGCACAGGCACGTGTAGCGGTTGATGTCGTCCACGCACGTCGCGCCGTTGCGGCACAGGTTGCCCGGGCAGTCGTCGATGTTCTCTTCGCAGTTTTTGCCGCGGAAACCTGCGGAAAGGAGGAGAGGAACGGTGTGAAACACATGATATGACAGTGGCTCCCAAAGGGGATGAGGTCGTAATGCTTCATTACGAGCCGAATTTCACAAATTGCGTTGTTGAAAGAAAGAAGACGGGCCATGTTCTCTGGAAGAGGGGTGGAGAGTGCTAACAGCCGTATAAAAGATGGGAGAACCTCTCTCCGATCCTGAAAATGCTCATCCTCCAGTTGACGGAGGAAGTGAAGTCTTTCGCCACACCTCAGCCCCGCCCACCCGCAAAGCACGTGGCGGACAGCACGGGTTCGTGAATTTAGATTTAGATTTATTCAGTAAAACGTAGGGGGCAAAATGTTATCTGCGCACATTTTCTTGAGATCCAGAATCCCTTCCCGTCATTGAAACTATAAATAGTTGAAAGACGAGTAAAAGTTTAACATAAATAAAAGTTCTTGCTGGGCGCTGAAGGTAGACCTCCACCTGCACACTCGTCGCCGACGGCACAACGCTCCGGCCACCTTCGCCTACAGGAAAGATTTCCCACTTAATAGTCGATTTTACCCACCCTGAATGCGCCCTACCACTAAGCCTCTGCGGCTCCAATTTAATTAACTCTTGTAATATTAAAATATTTAATAAACGTTATTTATACTATTTATATTAATAAAATATACACGTCTAATAAATGTTTCAATATGTTTCATAATTCACAGTAAAACATTTCCAGCTCCAAGAAGGCACGTGTTGCATTCCCTTCCGTGACACGCACTTGTCGATTACTAAAAATAAAAGACGAAAATATCCGGTCAAATATTCGCGTTCCGAAGAAACCAAACTCACGCAGCGGGGAAGCAGAAACAAAGAAACGCAGTATGGCCAACATGAATGCAACGAAGAAGCCGCGGGGGCCGAATTCTTCCCTTCAACGCCGCGCGTGTCCTCAGTAGCGAAGGAGAGGGGTTGAGGGGCGCTCCTGGCTCAGATGCCGAAGCCACTGTGTAAGAGAACACCTCGGCCGCCGGGAACCGGTCCCGGACCGATTGTCCGGCTTCGGCTCCGCACAATGGAGACGTGTTTTATGAATCGGAATGCCTTTGTTTTTGCGCGCGCCCGGCCGCTGTCAAAACGCCGCCACGCGATCGCCGCTGCGGGGACGGCTCCCGAGCGGGCTGCCGCTGCTCCCGCCGCCGCCGCCTAGCGCCGCTCGCTCGCTCTCGCGCTCGCTCGCTCGCTCCCTCCTCTGCTCGCTCCCTCCCTCGCTCGCGCTCTCTTGCTCCGCATCCTCCTCTCGGCTCGCTCGCTCCTCTCGCTCGCTCCTCCTCTCTCTCGCTCGCTCCCTCTCTCTCGCCCCTCCTCTGCGCCTCGCTCCCTTCTCGCTCCTCTCCCTCCGCTCCCCTCCCTCTCCGCTCGCCTCGCCCTCCCTCCCCCCTCCTCCCTCCCTCTTCCGCTCCCCGCTCCCTCCCCTCTCGTCCCTCCCCTCCCTCCCTCTCGCTCCCTCCCCTCCTCCCTCCCTCTTCGGCTCCCTCCCCTCCGCTCCTCTCGCTTCCCGTCCCCTCCCGTCCTCTCGCTCCCTCCCCCTCCCTCCCTCTCGCGCTCCCCGTCCTCTACCTCTCGGCTCCCTCCCCTCCTCCCTCTCGCTCCCTCCCCCTCCTCCCTCTCGCTCCCCTCCCCCTCCCCTCCCCTTGCCTCCCTCTCCCCTCCCTCTCCCTCTCGCTCCTCCCTCCCTCCCTCTCGCTCCCCTCCCTCCCTCCTCTCGCTCCTCCCTCCTCTCGCTCCCTCCATCCCTCTCGCTCCCTCTCCTCTCCTCCTCCTCCTCTCCTCCTCCCTCCTCTCGCCTCCTCCCCTCCCTCTCGCTCCCTCCTCTCCCTCTCCTCCCTCCCTCCTCTCTCTCTCTCTTCTCTCTCTCTCACTCTCTCTCTCTCTCTCTCTCTCCTCTCTCTCTCTCTCTCTTCGGTTATCTGCACTATTGCGCCTTGCTCCAAAGTCCTTGGTTTGGTAACAACGTGAAGTCTTTTTTTTTTATTCTTACTAACCGAACTTCGAAACAACACGGTAAACGCGAAGACAGGATGATTTTACACAATTTTCGCATCACATTCCTACTAGAAACCATCGATTGCACGAACTCGCTTAACATGAAATTCGTCATGAAGTTTAAAAAAATTTGGATATCGGTAAAGAAACGTAGTAATGAGGATCAACAAATCGGATTACAGGAATTATTATAACAAGAACACAGTTTATTCCTCAGCCTATCAAGATCGCATCATCAACTATTGTACAATTACTGGTATTATCTCAGAAATGGAAACATTAACCAATGCACTAATTTGGTAATATAATGTATGTGAATTGTATACCTAAACACGCAAAATATATGTACTAATTATTGTGTTTAATGTGAACGCTAATGACCGTGTTGTTGATGCGACTTACACGAAAAAAAACTAACAAACACCAATTATGTCAGTCTCTTGGAATTGTGTTAACAACAGTTTACTGTATTTTGATAGAAGAGTCCAGGTGAGAAGACAACTAGGTTTTGTCATTGACCTCCAGTTTCTAATTCGATTGTGTAACGTTATTGCGTGTTCCCTTAAAGAAGGCAACACACAGACCCGGTTTACCGTTCACGCAGAAGCCTGTCCGAAGCGCAGCGCAGCGCGTTCTGCGAAGGGAGTCGAAAGCCAGCGGCACTCCACGTCCTACGCACCCCACAAGGAAATAGCAACATTACACTTGGAGGGCCTTCACAACCGCTGTCTCATTAACGTCGTAATCTATTCACATTACATTTTTTCGATAAATATCTCACTAATTAAATATTTATATTATTGAACTTACTGATCCGAAAATAAAAATTCCGTTTAACGTTGATACAACTGCGATGTAACTCCAAAGCCTGCGAAACATTTTCCCATTCTTTTCGGGCGACGATTCACTTCTTGCTTTGTTCTTTCACTCCTCGATGTTCTCTCAATTGAGAAGCTCTCAGATAATTAAAAGAACAATTAGGTCATAATTAACGATCCCCATTGACCGACAGGATGCGGAGCACGAGGCAATTATGTGGTGCCCCGAGTTATTATCTCCCCGTCAGTCAGTCAGTCAGTCGCATGGGAGTACGTCTATTTTTGCGCAAACGCGAATCTCGTTTTTCCGGTAATGGAACTGGGATGACCAAAGGCAGTTACGGCTATTGGCAGGCCATCTTCGAGCAGCGCACTCGCGCACCACGCGACGACCTATGCGTCACCCAATGTGACCTCTCCCCTCCGCCAGAAAAAAAGAATTGTTCCAACCCTGATGCTAAAAAATTGATTGTTTTGTGTTTCCAGGCGCGGCGAATGCTAAGATAATTAATACATAAGCTGCTAAGATACCCAACAAGTGTAGTACATGTTATTATCGCCGGAAGTGGCGATCTTTCCCAGCTAGATGGCGAGATCCGGCACAGACCTACACATCGGTCTGAGAATATTTTTCCCTCACCAGGTGTCTCCCACCAGCGGGGCACCGCCCCACCCGGGACAAGCTCTAAGCTCCCAACTCGTCTCCTGACGTGTGGTAGTGTAGTGTAGTGTAGTGTAGTGTAGTGTAGTGTAGTGTGTGTGTGTGTGTGTGTAAGTACGGGGTGAGGATACGTCAAGGAATAGGAAGGAAAGATCGCGCGCGGCCCATGGCTTATTAGAGCAATACTCCGTCATTCGCCTGGTGCAGAAACCACAAAGCTACCGATGAGAGCAGTCAGCCGCTAGAATTCTCCTCCAGACAGCGGCTGAATTCGACCTGGTTAACTAGCTCGTATCAAAAACGCTGCCACCGTCGGGAGTGGAACCTCTCGGACAGAGGCACTGCAGCGAGATCGACTGATGCCCTGAGCCACCTAAGCCGGCCGGGGACACAAAAACGCCGAGCAGTGTCTGCCACAGAGAAACGGCAGCATTGACCCCTGGGCGTGACGTCATCTCGGGAGACGGCGGCGTCGCGGTGACACGGCTGGGCGACGCGCGGGGGCGGGTCGTCGCGTCACATCGCGTCGCGTCGCTCGCAAGAAGGTCCCCCCGAGAGAACAAATTGGCCGTATTAACAGCGCCGAGTGGCGTAGTGAAGCGTGAAGCGGACAAGGCCCGGGGCCCCCGCAACAAGGCGGCGGACACAGGTGAACACAGCGCCGGACGATAATTACTTATTTCTCCGCCGCGACCGCAGCGCCAAGAACTCGCCCGGCGGTCCTCGCCAACGCTGGGTGGAAGCGGCGGCCGAAAAACACGCACGGACGGGTCGCTTGCAGGGGCGGCGCGAACTGCATAGGATTCGTTTCCACAATGGAAGGCTACGTTTTTGCGTCTGGGTGACCACGAGTCTGTGTGGTGCTCTCCCAAGATGGGGGGCTTTGAAATTGAAGAAGCAATTGTGTTTTGGTTGCATCGCGTTTCCAGGAAGGGAAGAAAGGGTGGTATACAAGGAAGAAAAACTTTCAGGAACGCCAATCGAATTCCGTCGTTTTATGCAAACAAGTAATATTTATTCAGTCAACGGAGTAATGTCTTTTCAGTCACTAAGTGTTGAAATATTAATAATTTCCAGGAAGTCTAAATATTGTGTCAACACAGTTACTGATAATTAAGAAAACGGAATTTATTGTAATAAAAAGAAAGCCATTTATATGTAGCTTTGCTCACTGCGGAAATCTGTCTAATGTGAACATGGTCTTGCGAAAATCAAGTTCTACTGTATTACATTGTATTAAGCGAAATCTTGTCTACTATGAAAAAACTGGTCCCTTGAGAATCTGCATTGGTTCCGCAAAATATACAAGAAAAATAGAAAATGTGATAAAAAATTAATCGTGTTTGAGAGTGCATTTAACAATATCAAAATACGCGAAAATGTACTTAAGTAAAACAAAAACTGCTCTAATTCGTTCAGAATCTCTTGTGAACTCAAAGTATTGAACGCAGGTAGCTGGTTCTGGCAAAGGGCTGTATTTACATGCAAATGCGCCCCC